ATAGCATATATGACGCACAAATGCGCCATTTTCACATCAACACGGAATCATTGGCCTTGGAGAAGGGCATTGGTATTGACTCAGTTTTTTGTCAGCTGCTGCCGTATGATGGCGCTAGTAGAGCGCTATATGTATAATACGCTTTGCTAGCGCCACCATGCGGCAGCAGTTGGCTAAAATCTTATCAATACTACGGTTTCTGGAGAATGCCTTGGATTCATTTTTAGCTTTATGGATTTATGCAAGGGCATGTTGGTTTTATGAGTTGTCTTCTGGCTGTGATAGAAATAATTTCAAAGCTGTTTGAGCTATGAAATGCATTTGAATATCAAACATGAACTCTGATTTCCGTTGGGCATAGTGACTTTGGTATGTCAATGTCTTTGAAAAGGCAGGTGAGAATGCCACTGGTCAGCCTTGCTTCAATTGGATTTGTGTCCATTTATAAATGGATTTCTCATTTCAGTCATACCCTACTTACCTACATATGTTATTGGTATTTGATTTCTACAGCTCAAAATATTGCTAGGTGCTGTACAGCAAACTGAATGGAAGTGATCCGTACAAACATTTGGTGAAATGTTTTCTGGATTGCTAGCACTTAGAACTTGTTTATTCTGTTGTAGGTGACAAGATAAGAAATTGAAGCAAGACTGACCAGTATCAGTATGCTATAGAATAGGTAGCCCAATCTGCTGTAATATTAAAATTCAAAAGTGGAATTGGGACTTATGAAGTATGAACTGGAAACTGCATCAACTATGACTATGTTTGCCAAAGCGGTCTGGACCCATCCGGGTCCAGACCGGTTCCATAGACCGGGTCCCCGGGTCCACATTTTGCCACCTCTAACTTCTAGCTACAAGTCGGAACAACAGATGGCGCTGAACAAGTCTGCGGCGGACGCCGTTGTCGCAGCTGAGCTAAACCTGTTCGCGACCTGGTGCTCAGTCTGCGAGCTGGTCCAACATGTGACTCCGGATTTTGTAGGTGGCGCTGTTATCGCTGATGGAGCGGTCCCGCGGCTGCGCTACTCTGTGTGCGAATTGGCCTGACAGGTAGTGCTGATTCTGCACACGTGTAACCCTCCCTCACGCTCTGCGGTTGACTGACACCAGCCTATAGATGTCGCTCTCGTCGCTTTGTTGATGTGCGCCGCCCTTCCCGGGCCTTCCAGCCTTGACTGCGGTGGAGAACTGCGACAAACCCATTTCGAGATGGATGGTGGCCTCTGTAGCGACTGAAGGCTGCAGTGTTTCTGTGATCGTATCATAAATGGTGCTGCCTCCCAACCTTCTAACCACTAATCTTCTGCACTCTTCTAATCAATTCTAACTGTTAAACAAATCCTTTCCTCACCTTTAGCCCTATGCAGCGCCATTTATTGATTCACTTTTCACTCAATCTCCCGATGCTGATCTCAAATGCTTCTTTCGTTGATGATTAAATATATGTACCACCGGTGGACTCCGGGGAAAACAACAACAACAACAACAAAGTCGGGCACAATTTAACTGGTTTTAACAACATTTTAGAAGGTGGAATAGTCCCTTTAACAGATAAACAACACCTTGCGCTCATTCTAAGTCAGCTGAACGGGCTCGAAATGGCGAAATCTCATTTCGCCACTCTCATTTCGAGCCTTGGGGCTCGAAATGAGAGAGGCCTCATAAATTGGCGAAACCTTGCCCTCGTGAGGGAGTTCCAGGATACCAAGGCGACCGTCATGGCAGATGTGCACGGCGTTCGTCAGCTTCCGCCATGAGGACAGTTTGTTTATTCGATGTGCAAATAAAGAGCTCGTCTTTGAATAGGATATTTACATAATCGTACCTTTTGTTATAAAGTGCCCACCGACCAACGTAGGCGTGCTAGATTGGAATGGTATGGTGCATTGACGGGAATGACTTCAATGCATGCATTTCACATATTGAATTCAGCTGTATGCGTAGCATTGCAAGTAGAAACAAAAACCCCAAGGGAGCACATTGTTTTTTTTTTTTTTGTTGACACTTGACTAAATGACGTCAAAGGTAATTGAAAAAATGTCGGTGGCATTGATTGGCAATGCCCACCGGTAAGGTAAACGTACTGCATGGCTTGACTGACAATTACCGTATTGTTCCATTTAGAAAGAGGCTAAGGAACGACTGACTTATTGCTTAGAAATGCCCATAATGTTCACGCTCAAGTGGTGAATGGTCGAGGCGTGTTAAATCCATTAAAAAAACAGCCTGGATATCTATTTATTCTGTTTTGAATATTGCTGAAGTGATATCACCAAATGCCGAGGAGTTTTGCTCATTGCCGAAGTCATGGCGAAGTGTCAAACTATTTTGCAGATCGCTCATTTCAGTGTTCAATCTGTTTTGTCGAATGGGTGAAATGAAACACACGACGCCGGAATAGTTGTGCTCAATGCCGATTGTCGAAATGGCTCCTCAAACAGTTATGGCCAATGGTTGAATTCAATTACAAAAAGGTGTACTAACAATGGTCTCTACAGAGCCCCTCCCCCAAGCAATCACGCGCGGTCGCGTTACGGAATACAGAGGTACCACAGTCATGCACAGATTAACACAAAGTATACGTAGGGGGAATGAAAAGTTTTGAGCCTAACATACTCACAGGTGACGCAGATTAACCTTCGCCCCAGTGGGGGGGGGGGGCATATGTTACCACCCTGTCGCGTTTTTTGCGTGTGCGCCGCGTCGCTTGGGGTAGCTTTTGGTACATCGATTTTGGACAATGTGTGAAATTTTTTACCCCAGGTCATGTCAGGTCAGGTCACCAGGTCAAGTTAACTGACCAAGCCTAAAAAAAACAGTTTGCAATCATGTCCAGCCTGCAGTGTTTGTCAGAAAGGTTTTAAACTTGGTGGATTGTACGATGCTATGGGTACCTACAATTTGTATATCTCAGATTTTTTATATGCGTGACCAAAGGTCAGGTCAGTGGCGTGACCTTTCCATTATAAGTCAATGGAGAAAAACGAAAATGCCTCTAGATCCGTGTGTACGCATAGAACAAGGTCATGACCATGACATGGTCATGACAGGTCATGGCCTTGACCTGAGGTCAAATTTTCAAGTTGACCTTTCAAGGTCAAATTATAGCTCATTCGACGCGTCTCGGCGAGAGGAACACGATTCTGGCAATAGAAATGTCCTAGCTTTTTTTTTTTAGTAAAAAGTTATTGTCGAAAATCACTTTTCGTAACAACAGTTATTTTTGGAGTTTTTGCCCTCTGGAGGCTAAACCGTTGACCTGAGTCATTTTTGATGATGACCTTATTAAAAGAAGAGTTCAAAAGCTGTCGATTGATTTTCCCAGCGTATTTCTAGCTATCATAGTTCCTGAGATAATGGCATGTTTTCTGAAAAATATAATGACAATTCGCTAATTTTGACCTTAGATGACCTCTGGTGACCCCAACATTTCTCTAAGATGAAAAATGACCGAAATACTTTCAAACGTACGCATCGAGAGCTATCGACTGCTTTTACCGCGTCTTTCTAGCCCTCTTAGTTTTTGAGTTAGAGGTGGGTGGTAACATGTGCCCCCCCCCCCCACTAGGGCGAAGTTGGCGGAGACCGCCACTGGGGCGCGGGTTAATGGGCTCTAAAAACGAAACAAAAAGGACTAGGACTTAACTTGAAGAAGTCCTAAAACTTGGTGTTCACGCATAATAATAGCGGCAAAATATGTGACCAAATTTTCATTAACCCGCGCCCGGCTGGGGGTCCTGGATTTCCACGCCCTGCTGGGGGGGGGGTGTTTGAACACCCCCCCCTTGTAACTCGGCTCCTGGGCCACGTAGCGATACGCGAAAGGCGGCGTTCGAAAGAGCGCAAAAAATAATGACGAAATCACTTCGGTCAATTTTTCGGTCAGGTCAAAGGTCAGGTCACCAGAGGTCATTGAAGGCAAAATTTCGCCGATTTCCAGGTCGAATGTCGAAAATTTCCAAGAAGCCAACGCATAACTCGGGAACCAATAGAGCTACAGCGCCGCGGAAAAGTGCATTCGATAGCCCTATTAACGCCCTTTCTGAGTAATTCTCTCAGATTTGACCTAACGTCAACGGTTTTGCCTGCAGGGGGCAAAAACTGCAAAAATAGCCGATTTTTTTCGGAAACAGTTTTTCTGCAATAACTTTTGACCCAGGCCTTGTACGAGCTTACTTTTACCGGCATCGTGTTCCTCTCGTCAAGACGCATCGAATGAACTATAACTTGACCTTGAAAGGTCAAGTTGAAAATTTGACCTCAGGTCAAGGTCATGACCTGACCGGAAAGGGTCATGTTGCATATCAGTCGATCCGTATCGTCGAGCTGAACACATAAAAGGCGTTTTCATCGCTCTAGCATGCCTCTATCAAAAGTTATTTGCGAAAAACTGTTAGATACCATTCGTGACCTAAGATGACCTCAGGGCACAAACAAGGGTCACGGACACCATTTTCATGTTCAGTGTGTCTAAACCACTTGTAATTCGGTGTTTGGGAGTGTTTATAATGTCTTTCGTCCAAAAGAGGCGCATTTCAATTTTCTCCCATTGACTTATAATGGGGAGGTCGCAAAATTGACCTGACCTTAGGTCATCGATATCAAAATTCTGAGATATACATTTTGTACATGCTATTGCTCTTAGCAATCGCTGAAAGTTTCAAAGCGATCGGTCACTCGTAGCTATGACAGACATTGAAACTTTTTATGAGGTGAGGTCACTTCAAGTGACCTGGTGACCTGACCTTGAATGACCTTGGTCTGAAATTTTCACAACATGTGTAGAATTGATGTATGATAAGGTGTACCAAAAACGGAGCGCCGCCGTTTTTGAGATATTTGCGAAAAACCACAAGGGGGGGTGTTCAAACACCCCCCCCCCCCCCCCAGCAGGGCGCGGGTTAACCTGTGTCACCTGTAACTGTGTTAGGCTCAACACTTTTCATTCACCCCATGCGTATTGCGTATGCACTATGCGTATGCAGGTATTACCTAAAGTTGCCTCTTTTTCTAGAATGACAACCTGCAGCGTTGGAAATCTCTTCTTGATTTGCAGTGCTGCTGCTGCGCCCACAATTCCGCCTCCGACCACGGCGAGGTCGACCTGCGAGCGGCTCGGCGCGCCGTGGCGCCGCTGGCTGGCAGCCGCCGACGCCGGCCGCACACACCCCAGTCTCCGCAATAACAAATGGCTGGGAACCATGCCTTGTGACAATACAAGCAGAACCTGCAACAAATGAAAAGAGAATTATTTTGAGAATACCATGTCATACTGCTCACAGTTCAGTTGTTATCCATGTCGTACCCTAAAAGGCGTTCTCTCTAGCAGAGGTCGGCAAATGGTCTCGAGCATCTCCCCTTTGGGGAAATGACGTATTCCTGCAGCGGGGGTAATGAGCCACATTACTTAACTTTAATTTTTTCGAAAGGTGTTTGGCTCCAAGTATGTTTTTCAACTAAGCACGCGTTTAAGCCAGCGAAAAAGGCAAAAACTGAACCTGAGAAACTCGAACGTCGCCTTATAACGAGCGTGCGAGCGCAGCGAGCGAAGCGAAGTCTTTTCAATATACATAACGGAAAAATCTCAGTATGAGCGGCCCGGCCCAGCCCGGCCCGGCCCGGCCTGTAACGCTTTTGAGAGGCTTATATCTCAGCAACCGCTGGACCGATTGGCCTGCGGTCTTTTTTGCTGGGTAGCTCCATCCCTTCTACCCCGTAATTGACTACTTTTGATACATCTCAGTGACCGTCGTGGCACGTGCCACGTGAAAAGTCAAGGGTGTTCAAGCAGTTTTGCAAAAGTAGTGATTTTGAGAGGCTCATATCTCAGCAGCCGCTCGGGCGATTGTCTTGGGGTAATTTTTGTAGGGTAGCTGCATTCCTTCTACCAAAGGTCGGATACTCTTGATCTATGTGAGTGACCCCCACTGCACGTGCAAAATACAAAAAGAAGAGGCGCCAAATTTGTTCCCATTTCAGTAACTCGGTAATTACTGGGGCGATTTCGCTGAAACTTGGCATACAGGTAGGCATCCACCAGGCAATGCATTCTCATGTGTTGCGGTTAGGGTGCTACTGCACGTGCGCACGTGCAGGGGGCGTTTCCAGATCTCGAGAACGGCTGGGCCGATTGCGCTCAAATTTGGTACACGGTTGGGGACCGGTTAGTAGGGTGCCGTGCAAAAGTCATTTTGGACCCCGTTTGCACGTGCGCACGTGCAGAATGCTGCTTCCAGATCTCAGGAACGGCTGGGCCGATTGCATTCAAATTTGGCACACCGCTAGCGACCGGTTAGAAGGGTGCTTTGCACAAGCCCGTTGGAAGTACCCTCTCGCCCTTCCGCACGTGCAGGGCTCACTATCTCGCTCACTCGTTCTTCGCCCAAAAGGCGTTTTACTGGTTTTAACATTTGAATTATTCCCGATAAATTCCATACGTACGGCCCTCCAGCAAAAGAGTGGTTGGTTAACCTATCTGCTTTTGGTATAATAACTTAACCCGGCAGTTGCTGGGGTATTTCGCCACCCACCGTTTGCTGGGGGGGGGGGGGCGTTAAACGCCCCCAGCCGATAACTCGAGAACCAACAGGCGCAGCGAAACGCACGAGGCGGCAAACGAAAGAACGCGACGAGACGCTTCAGATGAGTACTTTAAAGTTGAATTTTGAGGTCACAGGTCAGGTCAAGGTCAGGTCAAACACCTTTCAGTAGCATGGACTTCAGGACTTCGCAATGGGCGCCTCTCGTCATAAACTCTGTCAAAACGGTGCACAATCCATCATATAAGGCCTACAAGAGTGTCAGCTCCATGCAGGGGTCAGTCAAGCATAGGTCAGGGTCAAGGTCAGGTCAACCGGGCAGGCACATATCCCCGAAAATAAAAACTGATATTCGCAGCCTGTGACACATGTTTTATGGGTAATTTGGGGCGTAGAACACGATGGTGACATTCATTTTATCATATGTGTACGTGTTTGGCTAAAAAAGTTCAATTTAAGAAATTCATGTATCATGGTCGTGAAGTAGTCACGAGAAATTGTCAAGATTCAGTTCAAGATTTTTGAAAATGCGGAACGATAATCAATAATCGAAGATAGCCATTTGATTCTCCATGGTATTGGCAGTCTAATGGCGTTTACGGCATGTCTATATGTCTATTCTGTGATTTTATATGATTTTTTGAACATATGCCGTGGTCGAAAACTCAGAAATCATGACGTCACTAAAACCTCGATATCTCAAAAATTTTCCGACCGATTTTTTTGAAACTTTGTCATAATAAACTTCAATCAATTCCCTATAGGTACCCAAAATTTGGCGCGCCCAGGCGCGCCGTTTTTATGCTATGGCCCGGCGAAAAAAGTGGGGGCGTTTAACGCCCCCCCCCAGCAACTCGCGGGTTAAAATGACAGAGACACTCCTGTCAAATGACTTAACAGAAATTAGAAGAGGGTTCGTTCGCACACGGTAACCGGACAAAAGATCGTAAAGCAGAAGATCGTATGGCAGAAGATCGTAGGCAGTTGATCGTATGCAAAATATCGTAATGGATAAAGATCGTACGACATAATGCTCGTATGGACAAAAGATCGTATTCGCTAAAGATCGTCAAGGAAAATGATCGTATGCCAAAAAGTCGTAATGGATAAAGATCGTACGACATAATGATCGTATGGACAAAAGATCGTATTCGCTAAAGATCGTCAAGGAAAATGATCGTATGCCAAAGAGTCGTAATGGATAAAGATCGTACGACATAATGCTCGTATGGACAAAAGATCGTATTCGCTAAAGATCGTCAAGGAAAATGATCGTACGTCAAATGATCGTATGAGATAAAGATCGTACAGTCAAAATATGGTATTCACATGGTGCAGCCCAACTCCAGCGCATACAAAGCTTATCAATTTCTGTGTTCGCGTAGTAAGTGGCCGTCGTAAGCTCGACCATACATTGATGTTATTTCAGAGCTTAGATGGCTCAATGACACCTAAAGGCAACGCGTTGTACAGGGTGTCTCAAAAGTTCGCTTACACATTTCCCATGTCAATAAAGCATAGAAGAACCGGCCAAAAATCTAAGGTTTTGGTGTCCGTGTGTACACTAGACAAATATGCATGCTTTGACAACTGATTCGGAAGGTTGGAAACCAAACCCTTTGCTGTATCTCCAAAAATATTTGCCCATACCGATTTTCGTCACTCCGTCAGCTGCCGGAGGCTGATAAAAGGTTACCAGCTTTCAAGCTCTTGTAGGGGAATCCCCCGCAGTTTCTGCGTCGGATTTAGGTTTGACGAGCTCCCCGGCAACATCCGCTTCTCCCTGAAAGCCGATAGCTTGCATCGACACCATCCGTGAGTATTTTGTAGGTCTTCTCTGGCGCTAACTCCTTCATGAATGACTGGCGCCGACCTCCCAAGCACCATTTTCCTTTTCAAAACAACCCCATTCCTGAACCAATGGGAAGTGCCAGGGGCAAATTTTTCGCAGCATATCGTAGCAGAATGTGTCGGCCATCTGTTTCTTAGACACATTTTGCAAAATTTGCAAATCCCGAACGCTCGTCATTCCCAATGCCAAGACCTTCGCTGGGTTCCGGAGTGTTTTCCTCAGGAGAGGTTCTTCTTCGTAAACGGCCAAAACCTGTCCATCGTGCGGTTTTGTCCGGATTTTGTGTGTAAAAGAAAGCTATTTGCTCTAGATCTGCCTCTTGAAACTTCGTTAGATAAAACTTTACATTAATTGACACTTTTGGAGGGCCACTTGTCCTCGGCATTGACGATTTTCGCATTATTTTCCCTCAAAATTTAGCGTTATAGATATTATAAACAATTTTAAATGATATTTTGTCTTTACTTTATGATGACCTGCAATTTTTGAAACTGGGTAACCTCTGTCTGTGAGCTTCTAGTCAGTTTTCAATAGTTAGGACTGCATTTTCAGCTGCTTTCCGGAGCACGAGTCTGCTGCGGTACAAGGGTCGTTCAAAGCGCTGTTAGTCTCGCGTGGTTTTGTCCTTCAAAAATTTTAGCCACCGTTTTTATTAGATGACCATCATGTTGTACTCATCCTCGCCGACACTTTGCCATGTGTCATTTCCGACCTAACCATTCCCATTACTCGTGAAGCAGAGAGTTTCTCAGCCGACCCGAGTATGCGACCTCCATTTTCATGCCTGATCCATGGTCAGAGGTGAACCCTTTTTGTGTGCTCATGAAGGGTCGAATGCGCTTGAAAACAATGAAGCTGCTTGAGGAAGGTTGTTACCAATGCCCATGCAAAATTTCGACTGTTAATTTCATGTTGATTCAGAATTATTGACAAAAAAGCATGGCTGGTACCTGTAAGCGAACTTTTGAGACACCCTGTATATGTGCCGAATAAATGAATGTATGTGCTGCCGTTTTCATGTACCTATTTGAAGTGAATACAACTAAACCCATGTTCCCCCCCGCCCCCCCCCCCACCCCACCCCACCCCACCCCCAACCGCCTGGAAGGTTAAAATGTTGCTTAAGCGGCTGAAGTAAACGGCGTTAAAATACTTTTTCCTTCGCACTGTTACATTTTCATATTGAATCGTCATCGCTTTACGAGTCATCAACAGATGTTTATCGCGTTATCACTATAGAAGTCGCAATTCTCCTGGTTATAGGATCCTAATTTCAATCCAATCCTAGTTATAGGAGTCATTGTTATCGAAGGCCGGTTAAAGATGTCAATTGTCCATCATTGGTTCGAAATCGCCCCAGTAATTACCGAGTTACTGAAATGAAACGTCGTCCCCAGCTGTGTCACCAGGAGTGGGGTGGGCTCCCACGTTAGCCGTAGCCTGGGGGGAGGGGTAAGGAAGAGGAGGAGCAGGAGCCTTCCTGTAATTGGGCGCATCAGCCTGTTGGAAGGATGACGAAATAAATAAAAAAGGGAACAGATTTGGCACCTCTTCTTTTTGTATTTTGCACGTGCATTGGGGGTCACTCACATACCTAGATCAAGGGTATCCGACCTTTGGTAGAAGGGATGCAGCTACCCTATAAAAATTACCGCAAGACAATCGCTCAAGCCGCTGCTGAGATATGGGCCTCTCAAAATCATTACTTTTGCAAAACTGCTTGAACACCCTTGACTTCTCACGTGGCACGTGCCACGACGGCCACTGAGATGCATCAAAAGTAGTCAATTACGGGGAAGAAGGGATGGGACTACCCAGCAAAAAAGACCGCAGGCCAATCGGTTCAGCGGTTGCTGAGATATAAGCCTCTCAAAAGCGTTACAGGCCGGGCCGGGCCGGGCCGCTCATACTGAGATTTTCCCGTTATATTCAAAAGACTTCGCTTCGCTCGCCGCGCTCGCTCGCTCGTAACAACACTATTCTATACGATTATTTACTTTACGAACGTAACGTTACGATCTTTTGTCGAACGATCTTTTACAACATGCGATCTTTATCTTACGATCATTTTCCTACGATCTTTTTTGTACGATCCATTGCTTTACGATCTTTTGCTTACGATCCTTGGTCGTACAATCTTTTGCGACATACGATATTTATCTTACGATCATTTTCCTACGATTTTTTCATACGATCAATTGCTTTACGATCTTTTGCTTACGATTTTTTTGTCGTACGATCTTTTACAACATATGATCTTTATCTTAGGATCATTTTCGTACGATCTTTTGCATACGATCAATTGCTTTACGATCTTTTGCTTACGATCTTTTTACCGTACGATCTTTTACAACATACGATCTTTATCTTACGATCATTTTCGTACGATCTTTTTCCATACGATCTTTATCTTACGATCTTTTGTCACGTAATCGTGCACACATTTCGGCAATGGCTTTCAACAGCCATTAGACGTATTCATCAATGCAGATCGATTATTGTGATGTCGGCAACCAACCACTGGACGTTTTGGAACTAGATATGAGAACAGTGGTGACGTCATGCTGTGGAACTTGCATTGCAATGTAGGGGAAGGTGGGGCATAATGGGGTACCGGGGCAATATGAGAAAGTGCATTTTATTCTAATCAGGTGTTGCTATCTGGAATCACTCCTGGCAATTTAAACTTCGCTCATCTGCCGCCCTTTACCGGTGGACACCGGCGGGAGGGGGCGTTGCTGAGGATCGTGGGTAAGGTGCTGACTGCTGATGTACCTTACCTGATGTTTTTTCATGGTGCTGATGTATTTTTCAACATTTGTTTGATAACTTCGTAGGCGAAAATCTGCTTGAGTAGGTTCCATACAGTCAGTGAAGACAATGACTCTCGTCCTAGCCAACCTTTCGCTGCGAAAGGAAGTTGCCGGCTGTTTTGATAAACATGAACGATCCTGCTCTACTGCCAATGTCCTTCGAGGGGAAGAACGGGTTTCTGGTAGAGGCGATATGGGGTGTACCCATTTTGGGGAAGCTGGGGTAGCCCTGGACGCGGGGAAGCCCGGCCACCCCGTTTCCGGCTAAGTTATTCATAATAAAATGCTTAGGTGTTTGTCCTTTCAGCGTGGCAGCTGAGGTAACGCCAGCGTAAAAGTTAACGCTAACAAAAAGTTTTTAGCTAAAAACTGAGATATGGTGCACTATTAATGTTATACTATACAACCCTAATATTTATACAAATGTTATGAAAGGATAGTTTAACCCGGCGGCCGCTGGGCCTCCGCGCCACCCGCCGGCCGCTGGGGGGGGGGGGGCATATAGTTGCCCCCCCTTTACTTCTGCGACGATATCGTCGCAACGCGAAGAGATAGAGAAGCGAAACTTTGCACACATGTTCCTGAATACCTAGCCGAGGTTGTGTCAAAATTTGGTGTCGATCCCATTTGAAATGACGTCACAGTGACGTCATAAGTGAAATTATAGATTTGCGGCTCTCATATTCCTCACGATACATCAGATATATGGGACCGAATATAAAGGGCCGATTATTGGTCAGGAACTAGATGGAAGTGTAGTTAGATGTTTTAGGATGACAGCAGGTGCTGTCTAGTTCATTTACAGTTGAGTTTCATGCTCAGCGTCATCAGAAACGGTCCATATCGGAAAACGACAAAACTTTATGACGTCACTGTGACGTCATCTTAGGTGCTACAACCACCAAACTTTTCTCAAACATTGCCTAGGTATTCATTTGAAGCTATGCCAAGTTTCACGTTCGTAGCTCATCAGGTTTCGGAGATATTTCACAAAACGTAAAGGGGGGGGCAACTTTATGCCCCCCCCCCCCAGCGGCTCGTGGGTTAAGTGTTTGTAGTGAGGGGTGACGAGGCAGGCTGGCTTAAGTATGAGATTTTTCCAACCATCGCTGTTCTAAAATAAAATTAGCACATCGGGGTAACCCCCAGCGAGTGGGCGAGCTTACCCCCCAACCGAGAGCAATGCCAATAAACCACTGTTTTCCATGAGATGATAAGTACTGAGTAGGTTTGGTTTACCTTGGTTGGTTTTGGTTTTAGTCCAAAGATAAATTTCGAAAATAAACATGTTATCATAGACAAAGCCTCTTCGGCCTGTCGCTCTATTCCAGTGCCTATACAAACCTATCAGGCATGGATGAAGGGCGATCGCTTGCCTGGTTTTTACTGTAAAATATGCGAGATATCCGCTCCACTTTAATGGTTTTTAGTTACCCTCCATCAGTTTATATCAATAAGTGACATAGTTCAAAATTTTAAAAATGCATATTATTCTTTGTTTCAATGCAAGTTCAATGCCGTATAGCATTTGGCATTTAGATTATCCGTCTTAGAGTTACAGCCCGCCAAACTTGGCGCTGCAACGCAAGATCCAAAACATGTTATACACTAACTCAGAACTATTCATCTGATATGCCTGAAATCAGGGCTGCGGAGTCGGAGTCGGAGTCGGAGTCGGAGTCGGAGTCGATTTTAGAAACCCGAGCCGGAGTCGGAGTCGGAGTCACCGAAAATCTGTCGACTCCGCAGCCCTGCTAGGTCTGCGGAGTCGGAGTCGGGAGTTGTAGTCGGTCGGAGTCGACAATTCTGCCCGGAGTCGGAGTCGGAGTCGGAGCTGGTTTTTGAAAGCCGGAGTCGGAGTCGCCGAAAATCCATCGACTCCGCAGCCCTGCCTGAAATTGTAACAGGAGGATTCAGAGCCCCTGATAGCCCCTGAGCCCCTGAGGATTCAGAGCCCCTTAGACCAATTATCGTTAAAATCCGAGAGATGAGGGTGTCAAATTGGAAAAAAGTGGTACGATCTATCGTGGAATGCCCCACCTGTAACACCATGTAGGAATAGGACGATCAATACTTGTAACAATTCATAAATAGTAGGTAGCTTGGTGTTCTATTCAGTGTCCTGATTTTCGTGAATTTGGGTGGAAACCCACACCGAACAGATTCTCTTTGCGACGTCTCGGAAAGCTAAACGACGTCCCTGACAGATAAAAGTCGAAAGGTATACCGAACACCAAAAGCAAACAACAAAAAGAAATATCACCTCTGTGGCCTAAAAACACGGCTATGCAAAATCACAATAAATATATCCCAAGGCCTCACAAACCCACTCTTATACTCAACTATATTGATATGGCCTTGACTCAACTCCCCTTTCCTACACCGCTGGCCCGTGGCGCAGCCAGGGGGGTCAGAGGGTCAGCTGACCCCCCACCCCCCGAAATTTCTGTCAGGGGCTCGAGCGGGCCCCCGCTCGAGAGAGAGAGAGAGAGAGAGAGAGAGAGAGAGAGAGAGAGAGAGAGAGAGAGAGAGAGAGAGAGAGAGAGAGAGAGAGAGAGAGAGAGAGAGAAAGAAAGAGAGAGAGAGAGAGAGAGAGAGAGAGAGAGAGAGGGAGAGAGGAGAGAGGTCCTAATCTATTCGGACGAGCCCACTTCGAGAAATGCCTACTGGGACACCACGGGTGAGGGGTCGGCCTGGGGCCCCAGGTGGACGGGGCCCGGGCCCCGGGTGGATGGGCCCGGGCCTCCCGTGGATGGGTCCAGGCCCCCGTGTGGATAGGACCCGGGCCCCCGGTGGATGGGGTCCGTGCCCCCCGGTGGATTGGTCCGGGCCCCCGGGAGAACAGATCTGGGCCCCCGGGTGGATGGGGCCCGGGCCCCCGGGAGAACGGGTCCGGGGCCCCCGGGTGGATGGGGCCCGAGCCCCCGCTGGATGGGTCCGGGCCCCGGAAGAACGGGCCCCGAGCCCCCGGAAAAACGGGTCCGGGCCCCTGGGTGGATGGGGCCCGTAGCCCCCGGTGAATGGGTGGATGGGGCCTGGCCCCCGGGAGAACGGGCCCGGGCCCTTGGGAGAACAGGCCCGGGCCCCGGGTGGACGGGGCCCGGGCCCCCGGGTGGATGGCGCCCGGGCCCCCGGGTGGATGGCGCCCGGGCCCCCTGGTGGACGGGCCCCGGAGCCCCGGGTGGACGGGGCCCGGAGCCCAGGTGGACGTGACCCGGGCCCCCGTGTGGATAGCGTATTTTTCTTTTCACAATTTTTCCATGAGAGGCGGTACATTTCTCTTGCCAACAGGTGGTGTTTGAACCCGGCACCCGTTCGTCTGACAGTCACCCGAAAAAACATTAAGTCCAAAATACGTCCGAAACGTCAATTTTTCAAGCATAAGTGCCCTCATGGGCGCACGTGGCGCGTGCCATCCCTGCACCGCTCACCATTCGATAGCCCGTTCGATTCTCATACACGATACTGTGTTTCCCATGCCGATCGGACCCACGGTTACCGAGATACTGCACGGAGACCGGACCCGTGTAGGGCAAATTTAGCCATTTTCGCTCAATTTTGCAAGCCGATTTATACATGTAAAGTCTATGACGCGAATTCGCACTTTTTGAGCACGCGCCATGTGCTCACCGCCAGCCCGATCGAGCTGAGACCCCTCACAGGCACGTTGCCCATCCTTGTTCTATAAGTTGCGCAAATTTCAGCGCACTAGGTGCAACGGTCTGGCCCAGGGCTGCGGAGTCGATGGATTTTAGGGTGACTCCGACTCCGATTCCAAATTCGGCTTCAAAAATCGTCTCCGACTCCGACTCCAACTCCGACTCCGGATGGTTCTAATAAAATCCATATCCTGATATTGAAGTTCATTCAGGTCGGGTCAGGTCAACCAGTAGGGGTCCTGCCGGGTATTCGTAGTAGGGGAGAGTGGGGTAATTTGGCCGCTTTTTTTTAGAAAACGATATAACTTAAAATTGACGACACATTTCTGCATTTTCTCAACGCTGGCAGGTGTCGCATTCATTTTACTTTACTGGACAGTGAACTTGAAATGATAGAGTAATTACTTATATTGAAATTGTGACGTATTACAAAGGTCTGCAAGGCGGCCAAATTGCCCCACTAGCAGGGTTATTTGGCCGGGGGTGTGGGGCAATTTGGCCGGTGTTAGTTTGCGGTCGGGATTTTCTGTTATATTGCGATTCAGCTTCAGATTCAGCAATGACGTGTGTCCTATGACGCATTTGCCGCATTTTGGAGGTTGGCTCAGGGGTCACAGGGGTCAAAATAGCCAAATTAGCGGCTCTAGATGCGATCACAGTTTTTTACGAATAACTTTTGAAGTAATCAAGCTATGCCAAAACTTCGAGTACCATCGTAATTCTCTCGTCAGTCCGCATCGAAAGATATATGTGTTGACCTTGAGAAGTCAAGGTCAAAGGTTGACCTCAGGTCACGTTGCATCAGGTCGCTTGACCTCAAGGTCACGTGATTTCAAGGTCATCATGCATATCATTCGATGCGCCTTGGCGAGCTGAACCGAATGAGACCATTTGTGCGGCTGTACCATTTTTATGTAAGGATTTATTAGCAAAAAACGTTTGGTAACCTTTGATGACGTCACATGCTCTTACAGTTGACCAATCGGAAGTAAGAATCAAAGTAGTCAAAGTTGGTCATGAATCATGTCATTTATGGTACAATTGACCATGAAAACTCGGCCGTCCCAGCATAGTGACCATGAGTGCACCGGCCAAGTTGCCCCGCTAGTCCCGGCCAAATTACCCCATATTGCCATTCTGAAAATTTTTGTCTATAAAGTCATCGCGGCTTTACGGAATTAGATAAAATTGCTCTTGGAACCGCTGAACACCCCCAAGAACGGCGCTATAATGTCTGAATTCGTTTTTAGCCCAAATACTACATGTTATACAACTTTATAAACAGAAGTAAAAGTTACCATTTTCTAATGAAATTAACGTTTTATTAATTTTGAATAAAACTACGAGGGGCAAAGTTTTGACATTTGTCCTCCAGTTACTTCTGCCCATGACAAATGAATTGAGACTAGAGTTATTTCACTCACTTTTATTAGACATCGTACAGGTGGGGGCGGCCAATTTACACCACCGGCCAAATTACCCCACTCTCCCCTACCTA